CTTGTTCCTAATTCCGCACAATATTAAGACTGTTACGTGTTGCATTCTGTGAATGAGCAGTGAAAGCTGTTGAACAACATTGTTTTGGACAATCTTTTGTTTTATTTCAGTTGGAACTGTGATATAAAAAGTAGCATGGCAGTTTATTGTTTTAACGTGGTTTCGAAATTTTGCAAGAGGTGTCTTACGTCATTAATACAGATACAGAAAAAAGGATATGTACTAAGAGCAAATTTCCCTCATGTGATATTGTGTCTAATTTTATTCCTAAATTAGAGATATTCGTTGCTAACCATTATTGTGATGCTTTAATCGGTTACGGTTCTTCCTTGCGGTATTCCTAATTCCGCCCTCTATTAGGAATGTTTATTATACCAACTATTTTTCCTAACTAATCTGCCTCTAGAATACCTCTAAAGCTCCCTCAGCCTCCTGTCCAATGACTAACAAGATCTTTTTCCGAGAGTAAATTGACCAGGCAGAATGCTGACATTGCTGACCCCCCCTTCCACATCACCCCATCCTACATAGTCTGTGAAACTCTGGAATTTCTTAATCGTTAAAAGAGGATACCTTTACCAACCTTATGTGCCCTATTTTGAGTTGTTTCTATTTCCAGCACATATATTGTGTCATATATGTATTTTTAACAAAAATATAAGGATGCGATATTAGGGACATTTTTCTTCAACGTCGAAAAATGCTACTTTTTTGTTTTCCTTCAAAAAAGATAATTAAGATAAACTTTGAACATATTCATGCCATGGAGATCATATTACGATAATCTTAGAATAAAATAATGCGGTTAAGTTATAGTCTTATAGAAGTTTTCAGTCAAAATTTTTTGGTTTTTAAATATGTGGTGCGCGATATTAGGTACAGTTCCCCTAATTCTGTATTCGTATTATAGCATTATAGATTAATGTTCTTAGTTCTTATACATTAAGATAATTTCTCATATTTATCGTTATCGTTGAAAGGGAAACGTGACATTGTATAAAATAATATTAAAATCAAAACGAATAATTACTCATCAACTGCTCCCTTTCTTTTCCTCGTTTGTTCAGATGATAGAACTTGCGAGTCAGGTTGTTCTCCACTTCTAGTTTTATCATCGTTCTCACGTTCAGAGGGATTTATATCATATCTTTCTGCAGTTGCAGGACCTGGTTCAGATGATGGAACGGACGGGCTATGTATTGTAGAATCGCGTCTACTAGTTTCTTCTAAAAATCTGCATTAAAATTTAATATGATTAAATGTAAAAACGGCGGAAAAGCAATTTTTTTAAATAATAAAAATTGTAAATTTTTCTAGTAAAATGCCATTATTACATTGAATGATATAAGCAAAACGAGTAATTACTTCATATCAATTTCGTCTAGGTCGAATGGTTCTTTAGGTGTAGCTATATTTTGAAGAACGGCATCCACATCATCGCCTGAGTCTTTTGTCGTTTGTTCAGATGATAGAACTTGCGAGTCAGGTTGTTTTCCACTTCTACGTTCAGAGGAATCCCTATCATATTCCCTTAAAGTTGAAGGATCTGGTTGAGGTGATGGAACGGACGGGCTATTAGCGCTTTCCATAACTTCTATAACGGCTTCTATAACGGCTTCTATAACGGATCTGCATTAAAATATAATATGATTACATGTAGAAAAAGCAATTGTTTAAAATAATACAGTTGTAAATTTTTCTAGTAAAATGCTATTTCATTGAATGATATAAACAAAACGAGTAATTACTTATTAATTTTCTGTAAGTCTTTTAATACATCCAACCAATTGACCGGTAGATTTGCAGAGGAATCCATACCATATGTTGTTGACGTTGTAAGATTTGGTCTGTATTGAAATGTGATATGTCATTAAAAATGGAATTATTTAAGATATTAACATTATAAATTATTCTTGTGCAGAAATGTCAAAATATTTAAATAATAAGATGTTATTATATTTTACGTTATAAGTCATTATAAGCAAAAAACAAGTAATTACTTATCAACTGGGCCTGATGGGTTTTTTGTCGTTTGTTCAGGTGATGGACCGGGCGGGCTACTTATTCTAGTCTCCACAGCGCTCTTTACAGTTCTCTTTACAGTTCTGTATTAAAATGTAATATGATTAAATGTAGAAAAAGCAATTTTTTAAAATAATACAGTTGTAAATTTTTCTAGTAAAATGACATTACATTGAATAATATAAGCAAAACGAGTAATTACTCTTTAATAGTTTTTAAGTGTTGTTCAAATGCTTGTTTACGTAAATCGGGCTGCTCTTGAGATCGATGTTCTGCAGAGGAATCCATAAATCCTCCTGAAGTTGAAGGACGTGGTTCAGATGATGGAACGCTTTTCTTAGCGCTTTTCTTAGGGCTTTTCTTAGGGCTTTTCTTAGCGCTTTTCTTAGCGCTTTTCATAATTTTTACAGATGATCTGCATTAAAATATAATATGATTAAATTAGACATAAGTTGAATACATAACAAGACGGTTGATAGCAACAGAATATATTTACGAAAGATTATAGAATAAGTAAAAAAAAAATTAGGTTAATATCATATTTACAACAATAATGTCAAGGGTAAATAAAGCGAGTAAAGCATTATAATATCACTATACATTTGCGAAGATTAACAGCGTATATTTAAATATTATATAGAAACGTTTATTGT